CCTGATGTCTCGTTCATCTACGGCGACCCCAACGGTGATGGAGTACTTGATCGTCTCCCCCCCAGTTCCTTGTCTGACAACGTGGTCAATTTGACCAGTCCTCCCCCCATGCCTTATCTGTCTTACAAGCTTGTCCTGAACGACGCCAACTGGAACATTTCTACTGAGCCCCAGGGCAACATGTGGATCCAGATTGTGTTCTTCTTCCTCCTGGGTCTTATGCCCATTGTCCTGGCCGCTCTTGCTGGATGGATCTACATGAAGGGATTCTACCAAGTCAAGATCAACAAGTCAGGCTTCTCCAAGAAGGGTTGGTTACCACTCAAGCTCGGGAATGAGTCCAGCATTAACTTCGGAGAAAAAGGCAAATCTCTCGAGATGTCCCAGATTCCCCCATCTCCCCTCGTCACGCCAGCCGCCGCCGCGGCCACCGGCGGTGTCCCCCGCAGAAAGGTCCTCATCGCCACCATGGAGTACAACATCGACGACTGGAAGATCAGCATTAAGATCGGTGGTCTTGGTGTCATGGCCAAGCTCATGAGTCAAGCTCTGACCCACGTCGACCTGATCTGGGTTGTCCCCGTCGTTGGCGACGTCGAATACCCCCTGGAAAACGAGGCCGAGCCGATGTTTGTCGAAGTCATGGGCGAATCCTACGAAGTCAAGGTCTACTACCACGTCCACAAGAACATCACCTACGTCATTCTCGATGCTCCGATCTTCCGTCAGCAGACCAAGGCCGACCCGTACATTGCCCGCATGGACGATCTCGAGAGTGCTATCCTCTACTGCGCCTGGAACAGCTGTATCGCCGAGTCTATCCGCCGCTTCAACGTCGACATCTACCACATCAACGATTACCATGGTGCCGCCGCTCCTCTTTACCTCCTTCCTGAGACCGTTCCCGTCTGTCTGTCTCTGCACAACGCCGAGTTCCAGGGTATGTGGCCCATGAGAACCGAGGAGGAACAGAAGGAAGTGTACAGCGTCTTCAACTTGCCCCCGAAGGTCGTCAAGGACTACGTCCAGTACGGTTCTGCTTTCAACTTGCTGCACGCTGCTGCCAGTTACCTCCGTATTCATCAGCGCGGTTTCGGTGCCGTTGGTGTCTCCAAGAAGTATGGTGATCGTTCCCTGGCTCGTTACCCCATTTTCTGGTCTCTGAAGAACATTGGTCAACTGCCTAACCCCGATCCCTCCGACACTGGCGAGTGGAACCCCGAGGAGGACATCTCCAACCACCAGGACGACATCAAGATCGACGAGACTTTCGAGGCCAACCGCGCTACTCTTCGCAGACAAGCCCAGGAATGGGCTGGTCTTGAGGTCAACCCCAATGCTGATCTGTTCGTCTTCGTCGGTCGTTGGTCGCTGCAAAAGGGTGTCGACTTGATCGCCGATATCTTCCCCACCGTTCTCGAGAAGTATCCTTCCACCCAGCTTATTTGCATTGGTCCCGTCATCGATCTCTACGGAAAGTTCGCAGCTCTCAAGCTCGCTAAGCTTATGGAGAAGTACCCCAAGCGTGTTTTCAGCAAGCCGGAGTTCACTCAGCTGCCTCCCTACATCTTCTCTGGTGCCGAATTCGCCCTCATTCCCTCTCGTGACGAGCCCTTTGGTCTCGTTGCCGTCGAGTTCGGTCGTAAGGGAGCTCTGGGTGTCGGTGCTCGTGTTGGTGGTCTTGGTCAGATGCCCGGTTTCTGGTTCACGGTCGAGTCCATGACTCCTGCCCACATGCTTCAGCAGTTCAAGCAGGCTATCGAATCCGCCCTGAAGTGCAAGCCGAGAAAGAGAGCTCTCATGCGTGCCTGGAGTGCCAAGCAGCGTTTCCCCGTCGCCCAATGGATCAGACAACTGGATACCCTCTACAACGACTCCATCAAGGTTCACAAGAAGGAGGCTGCCAAGCAGAAGAAGTCTGGCGGTATTCGCAACCTGACCGACTCTTCTCTCCGCTCCAGCGTGGCTGTCAGCGAGTACGGTGCCGAGTTGACTCCTACCGGTTCCAGAGCCACCTCTCCTCTCCCGCCGCCTACCCGTGTTGCCAGCCCCCGCATCTCCGAATCTCCTGGTCTGCCTGTTCCCAACCTTCCTTGGCACAGTATCCCCTCTTCTCGTCGCAGCTCTTTCTCCAGCTCCATTGGTGGTGGCCGTGAGAGTATGATGAGTGTGGACAGCTTCGCTATTCGCGCCCAGAACGATGCTACCTCCCCTGTCACTCCTGGCTTTGGCGACTTGGCCCTCCCTCAACCCAGCTTCTACAAGCAGCAGCGCAACAGCTCTCAGCTGTCCTTGCCTGATGTCGTTGGTGACCGCCACGATCTCAAGTTGATGAACGTTGACCAGAACTTCACGGACAAGAACGGAGAATTCTACGACGAGTTCGAGCAAATGCTGAACAGTCTTACCGCCAAGAACTCCATCAACGACCTTTGCATTGAGAACTACCTCCAAAAGAGTGAGAAGAAGTGGTTTGCCAGATACCGTGATGCCAAGCTTGGCCGCAGAGACCACAGCCGCTCAAGAAGCCCGAACCCTAGCCGCCCCGGTTCCAGCGCTGGTCTCGGTGCCAAGATGGATGGCGAGCGTGGCCGCAGCCGCACCCCCAGTGGTCTCACGGGCGCTACTCGCTACGATGACAGCCCCGTTGACGATGAGTTCCTGTTGGGTGACAACTACAACGCACCCACTGGTCTCAAGAAGTAAGTGCCCAACACCTTTGTTCGCGAGCTCAACACTAACAACCGCAGGATCCTCTCTATCCGCATCGGCGACTGGCCCGTTTACGCTTTCTTCCTCTCCTTCGCCCAGGTCATCTCCATCAACTCGTACCAAATCGTCCTCCTTACTGGTGACACCAATCAGACGCCCCTCAAGCTGTACATTGTTGCGGCTACTTATCTCGTCACGTCCTTCTTGTGGTGGTTCCTGGTCCGTATGACCAAGTCTGTTTACGCCCTCTCCCTTCCTTGGTTCTTCTTCGGCCTGGCCTTCCTCCTGTTGGGTGTCTCGCCACTGCTATCCCCTTGGCAAGCCAGCGCTGCTATGCAAGACGCCGCCACCGCTCTTTATGCTGCTGGCGCTAGCGCTGGTGCTCTGTCCTTCGCCCTCAACTTTGGTGACGAAGGTGGAGCTCCCACGAAGCAATGGATCATGCGTGCCCTTGCGGTTGCCGGTGTTGCTCAGGTCTACTCCCTCATGCTCTGGTATTGGGGATCCCTGACGCACACCCCCGAGACCTCTCCCATGGCCTACCTGGACGGTACCACCATCCCCAAGTCTGTCATCATCTGCGTTCCCGTTGCTTGCATGCTCTGGGCTATCGGTGTCATTCTGTTCCTGGGTCTCCCCGACTACTACCGCCAGGCTCCCGACGTTATCCCCGGTTTCTACATCTCCCTCATCCGCCGCAAGCTCGTCCCGGTCTTCTTCATCATGATCATCATCCAGAACTACTGGCTGTCGGCTCCCTACGGACGTAACTGGGGTTTCCTCTTTGCCTCCCAGTTCATCCCTGGCTGGGGAGTCGTGCTCCTCGCCCTGGGCTTTTTCGTCGTCCTCTGGGGCCTCATCCTCTACGTCTTCTCTTACTTCTCCGAGAGTCACACGTGGCTTCTGCCTATTTTCGCCATCGGTCTCTGCGCTCCTCGCTGGGCGCAGATGCTTTGGGGAACCAGCAGCATGGGCATGTACCTCCCCTGGGCTGGTGGCCCCGTCGGCTCCGCCATCCTCTCGCGTTGCCTGTGGCTCTGGCTCGGTCTCTTGGACAACATCCAGGGTGTCGGTCTGGGTATGATGCTTCTCGCGACACTTACGCGCCAGCACGTGTTGGCCGTCCTCATCGGTGCTCAAATCGTGGGCAGTGCCTTCACGATGCTGGCGCGCGCGACGAGTCCTAACGCCCTGTCGCCCAACACGACCTTCCCCGACTTCTCCCAGGGCCTGATGCCTGGTATCGCGAGTTGGTGGTTCTGGATCTGCCTGGGATTCCAAATGGTCATCCCAATCCTCTTCTTCAAGTTCTTCAGAAAGGAGCAGGTCTCGAAGCCTTAAACGGGAGCATGATGCGATTGATTTTGCGAAAAAGTCACAAATACCCCGGGGCGTCGCCGCCCCAATTTGTCATGTTGGGTTCAGGGCCGGTTCTCTCACTTACCTATACACATTTTCACGGAGCCTGTTTGTTTTTTTGGATTGTATAATGATGTTATAACCTTCTTTGTTATATACACACACAGAAAAAGCGTTCGTTAATGGCCCACGGACTGCGAAGCATATTCTTTTTTACCCCCGCCACGGGGGAGGAGCAAAAAAAGGGAGAGATACGACATCGGGGAGAGGAGGACGAGAGACGGGACGGGCCGTCCTCGTGTATGGTGTTTTGTTCGTTCCGCTTATCTACATCAAACATACATGTACCCCAACCGCTTGGGGGCAAAGGAGGAGGCGGCAAGGCCAAGGAGGGCGCGCGCGCGAAATATCTTGACGGCGGCAACAAACACGTTCACGGATAACCTTTAGATTAGACTTATGCTATGTGTTCATTCCTTTTTTGAAAAAATCAAATCATGATTAATAAACTCTGGTGCCGTTGACTCATGTGAAGTTGTTTCAGGGTAAGTTGATGTCCAGAGTATTCTGGTAAGTCTTCGCTGATGCTTCTCTATGAAAATGAACCTACACTGACACATGGTTATAGGCTGCAAAGCAGACCGAATTAGCATACTTCTCAGCTGTCACCTGTCTCGTCCCTCGTCTCGTCAGTCGGCCAGAGTGCTCGACACGACAGTGCGATGATGTCCTATCTAGTCTTTATCTTAATCAATCACGGTGGAAGTTGCGCGGCTATGAGGTATGCTTTGTATTGGTAAGGACTGGTTGCCATTGCTCCACGAGAGAGGTTCACGGGCTACGGAAAGTAAGTAAAACACTTCGCCTGAATATGTTCACGCCAACGGTCTGACACGCGCAAAACTGAAACCGTTCCCCCTCTCAACTACCTAGACCTCGATCCATCCAGAGTTGTAATAGTAAGGAAACTCCTCCGCATCCTCAACCTCCCCGGCGGCGTCGGCAGCGCAGATGGCGCCCTTCCACGGCCTCGTCGTGCCCCCGAGCGGCTGCCTCCTGGCCATGCGGAAGGCCATGCCCGACTGGACGTCCCAGAAATCGCACTCGGAGGGGTGGCGGATCACAACGCACGCCAGGCCGGCGACCTCTTGGGAGTAGTCCATGTCGCTGAGGAGTGTCATCCAGAGGTCGCGGTGGTAGACGAGGCTGCCGGACCAGGTGCGCCAGCTGTTGAAAGACCAGCCGTAGACCAGCGGGTGTGGGTCCGGGCCGAACTCGCCGTCCTCGCCGTAGAGGTGGCGGATGAGGGCGGAGGAGTGCGTTTGGAGGATGAGGTGGGTCGTCTGCTCGGCCGGGCGGGGGAGTGAGGAAGAGGAGGAGGAGGGGGGTTGGGAGAAGGGGCCGGCGGCGCGGAGGGCTACGATGAGGGCGAAGAGGGAGGCGCGGTAGGCGTTTTGGGAGTCTCGTGGGGACTGGGGCGGTGGGAGGGTGAGGCGGAGGTTGTGCGGGTTGGAGGGCCCGAAGTAGACTGACACGGTAGGGGGTCCGTTCTTGGGGACGTGGACTGCGGTTGAGACGACGAGAGTCGAGGTGATGGGCCTTCTGAGGTTGGGGAAGTGTCTGATGTGTGTGAAGTTGTTGGGGCCGGTGATTGAGGGTTCGTGCAATGCTGCGTTTCTGAGGATGTCGTTTTGGACGCCTGGGGACCGGGCCCTTGGGATCCTCCCGAGTGTGAAGTGGGAGGGGAGGGGGGGTTGCGCGGGAGGGCGGCGGACGTTTTCTGATGTTTGGTTGTTGAATGAGTCACCGAGTTGAGCAGCTTGCTGCGTGCTTGGCTGAGTCGGAGGGTTGCTAGGTTCGTCGTCAACCCTATACCATTCCACATCGTCTCTGGCTTCGTGGAGTCGGCGGAGCATTCTTTCTTTGGTCCTGGGGTCGCTGTACGGCAGCTGGGCCATTCGTTCCGCTTCAACCAGACGGCGTCGTGCCTCCCTTTCGTTGTGACGGCATTCGCCTTCATACCATCTGCGCCGCATCTCGAGAAACTCCGTTTCCCCAGGTTTGCGGAGCAATCTTCGCCTGCTCTCCGGGTCGTTGTGCGGCAGCGATCTGAAGCGTTCTTTTTCGAGCAGACGACGTCGGTCCTCCTCTTCTTCCAGACGCTCCTTGTCTGCCAGGGCTCTACGTCGTTGCTCGCGCAGCTTCGATGCTGGCTGCGGTTCCGCCTCTTCTGCGAGCATGCGACGTTGTTGGCGGCGGCGGAGGCTTGCCGGGTCCATGCCGGTGGCGATGTCGTGTTGCCGCAGCGCCTCGGCGAAGAGCTGGTTGATATCATCAAAATCAGAGTCGTCCATTTCTGAGTCGTCCATGTCCGACTCGTCCATTTCCGTATCACTTGAGATCGAGGGCGATGGTGAGGGCGAGGGCGAATGCTCCTTTCGGCGTAAGCTTTCAGTCTGGCGTTGGCGGCGCAGCAGCAGTTTACGCTCGCGTCTTTTCACTCTCTCCGGTCCCAGCTCAGCTTCCCACGAAGAGAAGGCGGGCTGCTGCCGCAGTTTGGGATCTTCGAAGATGAGGGCGGCGTCCTTCCTGCCTTGGACCGTCAGACGGACCTCCTTGACGGGTTTCTTGACCCGGGCGTGGGGCGGTGGTCTGGGACCCGGAGTCGGCCACGGTTTGATGCCGGTGCGCAAGAGATAGTCATCCTCGTAGTCGGTCGTGAGGGCATCATCGTCAGACTCAGTGGAGAAGTCAGACGTGTGGATCGACGGCCAGGACTCCCCAGAGTCCGAGTCCGAGTCGCCCTGAGGTAGGCTGCCAGAATCGCTAAATACAATACGGTGCCACCCGATCCTTGTGCTCGGGGGACCAATGTTCATGTTTTCTCCTTGTCCTGTACTCATGTTCAATATCGTCCGGAAGGGTTCCTGAGAGGCGAGCGGGTGAGCCTTCCACAGAATGAGCTCCTACTTGGATCTCATCAGCGCGGGGCATGAGAACCTTCCAAATTATATACACCTCATCTAGGCGATGACGCGAGAATCATTGGAGAGTCCCCCGGACCTGGTGCTGCCGGTCTCTTCTCGTCCATTGTCGGCAACGGCGGCGTCCGCAAGTTGAGAATTGCTTTTTCTTCAGTGCTACGATGCATCACACGGAGGGTCTTCCTCCAACCAGAACTCCGCGATCGATCGGGTTCCCTGATGAGCGATTTCCTATCTTCGAGGTGATCGATTTCCCTGGAGAAAACCGGGGCTTGCTGCATGGATCCCATGCAGGCCATTAAGACGATGCGACGTTGGCGATGTTGATGTTCTCATCTTCGCAGTGCTTGCGAGGGGTTCGTGGAGGTTGGATGAGATAACGTTGCCGTTCTGTTAGCGGTCGTTGGCGGAATTCAGGGTGGCTTCCGAGCGGTTAGCGTGCTAGCGCTCCCCAAAGCTGGCGCCTACGAAGAATACTGCTGGGGGGTTCGCGGGATCCTAGTCCTACCTCACGCGGTCTCAACCACGCAGCGTCACTGCAACCTGTTTCCATGCACGATTTGTAAAGACCAATGCGCGGTCTTCCTGCTGTTAAAGAAGCTTCTGGCAACTTTGACGTACTTTTGTTTTTGTTTACTTTGAACTGAAAGTATCGTCATTACAGTTTTGCTGGGTACACAGCTAGCAGCATGTAAGTCGACAGCCTCATGAGATGGAGTCGTCACGATGGCACAAATAATCCTTCATTCTACATATCTCGCCTCCAGGTCAACTCAGAATTGTTGACCTGGATTCGTCCTTCGCAGAAGTTTTCGCCATCATCACATGTCGCATATGAGGTCTGCTTCATAGAGCTAAGCTGGTTGGCTGCGAGGCAGGTCTGGACCCCAGAAAAGGTTCATCTAATGTCTTCAACGGTGCCCTCTGACTGAAAACTCTCACGATTTTGAGCTCATACATTGCGGGGAAGTCGGAAGATTTCACAATATAGGATTCGACTTTGGAGGTTGCTGGGGCAAGGGCAAAAGATCAGATCACAGCTTGGGCCGTGGAAGCTTTCAGTATGAAGTCTTGTACTATATAAAGGCTCCTCATCCGAAAGATATGCTTGCATCTTCCTTTACTCATCATGCTTACGCCTCTCGCGCCCATCTCCTCATTTTCAAGTTCACGCCTAAGAAAAGTAGCAAAAGATTGTAACACAGGTGAGCAAAGCTAGACTAAGTCCTATGTATGTTAACATGTGTTTTAACATACATCTATCTATACAATACACTAAGTACATAACTTTGCAACGAACACAAGTGACAGCGATGAAAGTAGAGCAGCCTTCCTGTCATTGCTGTGCAGCATTACCACAGGCGGTAGAAACCTATAAGTCCACCTTCAGGTTTCCAACCGTCTTTGGTGACTATCTCAACAACTGTGTCACCAAACTCGAGGCAATCGACTATAACACCAGCTTCATCCACGTAGCCTGTCCAGACCATGTAGATGTTGCTCATATCGACTCTCTCGTCGTGGCAGTCAAAGGGATCCAAGCTCCGCGCTTTTCAGACGATACCTCAACCATCGGCGTGTACTTTGGTCCGGAGAATCCAAATAACGCTAAGCGCTTCTTATCCGACGGCACTTTTACCGGCCCGCGCGCGGAGCTTCACGCCGCGTTGGCAGGACTCAAGATCTCGAGGCGAATTTGCGCCGAGGGAGGGTTCTGCAGTTGCCCGAAGCACGAAGATGGACATGAGTGTGTTGTAAGACACCTCGTAGTGAAGACAGAGTCCGAATACGTCGCCAGAGGTATGGGAGGCGGAGAAAGGGACCGAGAACCTTGGATATGGAGATGGCGCGAGAACGGATGGTTGACGGTGAATGAAGAGCCGGTCAAGAACAGGGATCTCTGGAAGGCTTTGTGGCGAGAGTTGAAAGGTCTCGGCGTATTGGGAGTCAGGGTAGATTGGTGGCTTGTTCCGACTAGCGACAATAACGAGGCTTATTGTGTTGCTGGAGGTGTGCTATCTGCGATAGATCTGACCCCTGACGAGAAACATACCGAGTGGTTGACGGACGAGCTTCAGCGCCATGCGGGTTGTGATCATCCACTTGATATGGATCCGAGGGCAGTGCCGGAGAGTTGCATACTATTGGAGAAAAAGTCGAAGATGTGAATCAGTGTTCACGTACTAAGGCTAGGAGCATTTCCTTTCAAGTGAACGGACAGCTATGGAGTTCTCAGGTTTAGCAATGCAGCTGAATGTTTAAATGAGATTTTTTTTGGCTTCATTTCAAGCAAACCCAGTTGTGTCGTGAAGCATCTTGATGCTCAGAAGGGGTCAGACGTAGCTAGCGACAGGGAAGGAGCAAACGAAGGTCTGGCTCTGTAGATTCGCCATAGATTCGACTGCGGATCCGTGACGCTCCAGACGCAGCAAGTTGAGGACGGGGGACGTCTGGTAGGCGTGGACGGGGATGTCGGGTTGGCGTAGACGGCTGGAAGTCGGATGATGTGCCAACAATGACGCGACAAATAGGCTCAAAGCTTATTAGTCGTGTCTTCCTGGCTTCGCGTGAGCATATATCAGACGACCGGAAAGGCGCTGGCTCAACGCGTCGCACCGCGTCTGGGATTCTCAGGTGGACGACATTGGCAGAACGAGACGGTGGTTCTGGTTAATGATTCTTTGCGATGCCAAATTTGCAATTGGATGAATTTTCGATAAATTTGTTGGCAATCAAGTTTGACATGGAATGTTCCTGCTCTGGCTAAGAACAAAGGACACTAACGTGGGGGGAGGGTGCGCACGTCCACCATCTTTCAGGAGACACTGCCAGCCACAGTACCCGTGTACCTACTTCACGTCCCAAATCTGCGAAAGTCATCATCATTATCGTTCACAACCAACCCTACGATCTGAAATCATGTACCATCCGTACAAGCGGCCTCAAGCATCGGGATACAGGCGGAATAAAACTGGTCGAGCTGCAAAAGCCGCGCCAAAAAATGGGGACCAGCCCCAATTCGACCAACAGGACAAGGCGTCAGGCCCGGCTCTCAGTCGTTCCTCGGGGTCCTTGAGAGGAGCCTTCTTCCAAAACAACGACGGTAAAATAGAGCTCTTCGACAGCCAGACGGGGTTCACTCACATGTGCAGCCCCTCGTCGCAACACTCTGGGCACGAGGATCCCCTCGTCATCGCCATCGATGGCGCTTGCCCTGGGAACGGCACGGTAAGGGCAACCAAGTCAGGTTATGGAGTATTTTTCGCACCCGGCAACCCCAAAAACATGGCTGCCCGGATTCCGAACCATCTTCTCGAGGGCGGCAAACACACAAACAACATTGCCGAAATCATGTCCGCCATATCTGCGCTCCATGGCGCGACGATTGTCGCCAGGGGTGGTGTTCAACGGTACACCGATGCCGTGAAGCACGGAGGCGTGAGAAAGCCCAACGGAGAGCCCCAGAAGTTGAGACACATCATCGTCAAGTCAGACTCAGAGTACGTCGTCAAGTCCATCGCAGGCGGAAAAAAAGGTGAACCGCCTTATATTGCGAAATGGAAGACGAATGGATTTCGAACGGCGGGGGGCGGGGCTGTAAAAAATGCAGCTCTTTGGCGTTTGCTAACGCAGTACATCGACAAACTCCGCGAGATGGGCGTCACGGTTCAGTTCTGGCACGTTCGCCGCGAGCTGAACAAGGATGCCGATCGGCTTGCAAATGAAGGCCTGGTCGTGGGGGCTTCTGCTATCAGTTCGACGGTCGAGGAGGAGATCAAGCGGGTTTGGAAAGCTCAGGGTGTTTCGAGAAAGGGACGAAGCCATTCAAATGAGTAAGTAGTAATTGTGTGGGGGTCCGTCCCAGACTATTGCAGTTGCTTCATGAAGCTGACAGATTCTTGACAGAAACGAGGTCATTGTCCTGGACGACGATTAGGACACACCGCATTTCAGTTGGACCTTAGTCCGTCAACCTGATCATTTCTTTGCAAAATGCTTCTGAGTGTCAGATGATTCTGGACTCCATGAGAAGTGACCGAAACGCCATTATCCGTGATCCCGTAGAGGTCGTCGGGAATTTAGCGGTCAGCTTCTTCAAAGAAACGAATTGGCATGCAGATCATGCAGAAACCACCTCTTATGGCGGCAGTTTCACCCGCCTCGCTTCTCCCGCCCGGAGGACTAGTCATGACAGGCGATGGGGGCTGAGCTTCTCCTCCAGCTCGGTGGAATGATGGCGTATAATGAAGAAAGTCCGAGACGAAAAAAGATGCCAGCTACCTTGCATAAGAAGAAGGTAGTCTTGGGTACTTATGAATCACAGGCGGCGATCACGAAGGCGTCACAGAAAATGGGTGCCTCACTTTTCCGTGGCGTTGCTCCATGGTAGCTGCATCAGATAGACACATATAAGACACCCGTAGAACCACAGGAATCCAGGAACTTTCTTCAAGCAGCGCCAAAGATGGCGCTTCTGAACTTTGCGTCGCGTTGCCTCAGCCATGGCAAGCCCAGCATCGGTTCATGAAGACTCAGCAGTTGGGAGTCCCTGTTCAAGTACGATGGTAGCCTGCTAACCCCTTTAACTTGTCCAGCATCATCCCTGTGTGTATATGCACTCTAAGTAATACACAGAAGAAGACGGCTAAGCGTCAGCTATTGTGGTGACTGAAACCCGCCATCTGAGCGTCAACCCCCTATCTTGAATGCTCAGTTTTGGCGACGCCCACGATTCTGGCCGCCGCTGGCCCGCCGCATTTCTTCTTGTGCTACCCAGGTCTTTGGAAACCGCTCGACAGCCATATTTATACCGATTTGAAGAAGCATGGCAGAGGAGCACATGACCAAGTTAGTTCTGTAACTATATAAGCCACTCCTCCAGCCCATGGTAACTCATACGAGCCACAAAACCGCAAATTGCAAGGTTGAATGTTGGGGACGAACCTCTCGCCCATGGGCCTTGTTGCTGGCCATTTTATGCAGCTACCCAGCCAAGGACCTTACACATGCTTTCACACTATGGATCTATTCTATCTCGACCTCATTCTTAGTATGATAAACCGGCTACAACGACGTTATCCCACGAATGCAGCGACCGTTACAACTCGCTTTGAGCAAAGTTTCGTCGACTCACAGGTCAATCCATAGGTCCTCATGGTCGTAAACACATGGAAGAGCTTGGTTCATCCTGCAGACTAAGACTATGGACATGCCTAGTTTGTATATGCATTAAGAGGACCGAGCCGGCCACGCTCTGTGCCGTCACCAGATCGGGCCCTCATAAAACACACAGCGTCACCGATCAAGCTGCGGACAGGACCGTCACAGAATGATGTGCCTCGTGTGCCTTTTTTTTTTTTTCCATCGGTGTACCTCAAAGAATGAGTTCCCGCTGATAGATAAGCACTTTCATCTCAGTAGCATCCATTTATCTCTTGATGCGCTGCCCGTCAGCTCCGTTGGGTGCTGTTTCTCATCTCCAGTGTATTCCACATCGACAGAGGTATAACACCCGCTGTGTCCGCGACCCGAGTTTGATAACGAGTCCCTCGAACTAATCTTGACACATGCCACCACCAATGGGATGATCTTCAGTTCAACTAGTTCAACTCCCAGGGCTATTCCTGCCAATCGTCAGGTCCTCGCATTTGATGAGTTTAACTCCATCGCTCGCAGTAAGAGATGTTATAATGAGAGACGGTACACGCAGCAGAAGAATGGTGGCTAGCAACGCTCTTCATCCGCATTCGCATCCGCTCAAGTCAACTTCATTCGCCGTCGCATATAATACACGGTGATTACCCATGTGCGAACTCTCTCGACAATTTGCCCTGAGCTTTATTTTGATGAATGGAAGGTGTGATGGTATTTGTGTCTCAGTAATCAAGAAGTCGTCGCTGATCACGCCCCTCCTAAGACTGCTACACGCAACATCCCTTCGATGTCATCGAGCACATTCCCCCTTCAGTCATCTTTCTCGTTGTATTCCACCAGAGATACACGACAAATGGCGCGCACTTTGATCGTCGCACAAGTTCATACCCTGCCCACGGAGCTTTCTCAGAGGTCCTCATAGAAACCGTTGATGAGGTAGCAGACTCTTATCGACTCCACAGCGCATTAGAACCCAGCGTTTCTAGATTTATTTTGGTTTTACAGCTTATCTGCCAAAGTCTTCCCCGGTATTAATACTCAGTGGCTGGAGTCTCTAAACCAAATGACAAGATCCTTCAGTCTCTGATCAAAAGTTATCCGTATATATTGCGAATGGGTTCATGCAGCATCTTCTAGACTCGCAATGGATCTGGCTGTTTGAATGGCCTTCCTCGCAGATTACTACGGAATCAAGAGGAAAATCCTCATTCTCTGAGTTGTAAACAATGCGCAGATCCCAACCATGCATCCCTCACCTGTCTCTCCTCCAGTCCTCATCGACACCCATCTATTCCTGCATAATCAAGTGGCGTATCCTGGACAGACGTCCAGAACAGGACTCTAAAGTGCGCTGGAAGAAAGAAACTCCTGCGGAAGGTAGAACCTGGAGCTCAGTAGACCGAATGCTACATCGATATTCAATCCTACACGTATGCCATATCATTGGCCTGGCGAGTACCATCCATCCTCATCCAAACCATTATACCCTAACAACCCTCCACGTACAACCTTCTCAACGTCCACTACTTATTTCTCAACTACAAAAGACGATACTCGGGCTTTCCTTGAAACAGGCAACGAATTAATATTTGTCGTGGCAGGGAGCTCTTCAACAAGACCTCAGCCACCACCGAGTTCTCACGACATCGGACCGCACCCCACGCCCCCTTTCGTCGGCCCGTCTGCATAGCCACCATCTCTCATCATCATCCGTCACGTATATATGCCCGTATCATACAAAGCACACGGACGGGGACACTTGCGAACATACACAAACCACCACTGTCTTGAGGGCGAAGCATTACTCCGCCTCATTATCATGAGATTTCACCATTGCTGAAGTACCAAGCTAGCGAAAAAGCACCAAACGGAAAAGACTATTATCACTGGTTGGCGGTCCCAGTCAAGTTTTTCAGAGACAGCATATATATATATATATATATATATTCTACCTTGATGTCGTTACTCTAGCAAAGAAGCAGCAGAATCAGCCCGATATACACTCGCTACAACCCTCACGAACTATAAAACCGTCCGAACATGTAACGTGAACAGCAACAGCAATTCACCGCGCTTATCTCCGCTCATTGAAAAAGCCGGGCAAGACGCCTCGGTGGTCTCTCAGTCCGAAGGCCTCCTTAGTTCTTCTCCGTCGTCACTCGCCAAACACCGCCTAACGCTCACTTGTCGTCTCCTCGACTCCTATCCACCACCTCTACCAGGGTATTCCTTGAGACCGTCCGAGATATTGAACAAACCAAGAGGTCAAGTAGACTTGAGTCGGTGACGAGGATCAGGATGCGTCAGGTTCGAGGCCTTTGCGCCTCGAAGACGAGAATGAATACGACGCACAGAGTGGGAGATGATCCGCAACGACCTTTCACTTTCATCAAGAACGTGAGAACTTACATAAATAATTGTATATTCCGGTGTGCCAAGTGACAAACCCGATCAGAGTAACGTGCCAGAGACGACGACTTCAAGCCCGTAACTTGGGCACGGTACTACTGATGAAGTCATGAACGTATCAACGACACTCGACATCACGTTGCAAACAGAATCATGTGTTCAATGGGTCTCATTTATGCGGTGTATGTTTTACACAAAGTTGGAGTCATGCTCCATGCTGCCGACGCCAATTAACCTGCCAACACCAGAGACAAAAGTGCATGATGGAATCTTTGGGTAGTCTCTTTTTCATCCCGAACGAATCAACAACAAATCTAAGAAATTAGAGCTCGTCGTGGCTGGGAGGCTCATCCTCGCCGCCAGCGCCACCGGCGCCCTGGTACATCTTGGAGGTGATGGGGTAGGCAACGTTGGACAGCTTCTCCTTCTGCTCCTCCAAGTCCTCGGTGGAAGCAGTAGCGCCGTTCTCGTCGAGCCAGTCAGTGGTCTCCTTGACGGCCTCAAGGATCTAGAAATAGAGTTAGTGGTCTGTAGACATGGTTGAAGTGAGTTGAGTAAACTTACGGTCTCCTTGTCCTCGTCGTCAATCTTGCCACCAAGACCCTCCTCGTCGTTGACCTGGTTCTTGAGGGAGAAAGCGTAGTTCTCAAGGCCGTTGCGAGCCTCAATGCGCTCGCGGGTAGCCTTGTCCTCCTCAGCGTACTTCTCGGCCTCCTCGACCATGCGGTCAATCTCCTCCTGAGTGAGACGACCCTTGTCGTTGGTAATGGTGATGGACTCCTGCTTGCCAGTGCCCTTGTCGTGGGCAGAGACCTTGAGAATACCGTTGGCATCGAGCTCAAAAGAGACCTCGACCTGAGGGACACCACGGGGGGCGGGGGGAATGCCAGTGAGCTCGAACTTGCCAAGCAAGTTGTTGTCCTTGGTCAGGGAACGCTCACCCTCGTAGACCTGGATCAGGACGACGGGCTGGTTGTCAGCGGCGGTCGAGAAGATCTGGCTCTTGCGGGTAGGGATAGGAGTGTTGCGCTGGATAAGCTTGGTCATGACACCTCCAGTGGTCTCAATACCAAGGGTCAAGGGGTTGACGTCCATGAGAACAATGTCCTCAGTACCCTCCTCACCGGAGAGAACACCACCCTGAACAGCGGCACCGAAAGCGACAGCCTCGTCGGGGTTGATGCCCTTGGAAGCCTTCTTTCCGTTGAAGTACTCCTCAATGAGGGAGACAACCTTGGGAATACGGGTGGAGCCACCAACGAGAACGATGTCGTCAACGTCCTCCTTCTTGATCTTGGCGTCCTTGAGCACCTGCTCGACGGGCTTCAGGGTCTTCTTGAAGAGATCCATGTTGAGCTCCTCGAACTTGGCGCG